TTTGCCAAAATGTTGTTTGTTTGTTTTTTAAAAAGCAGCAACAAGGTTAACAATGGAAGACTTCAACCTGTGTGTTTAATTCTCCAGAGAAAATATACATAATGAGCTCATTCACACTCATGAAAAAGTGAAACAGAGACTTGAGTCCTGCTACTTAATATATTGGATTATGAGCACACAGCACCTTGCTCCCAAATAGCAAGAGCAATTCCTGTCAGTCCTGGAGGGTGAGTCAAAAAAAGACTCTTCAGTGTCTTGGACAAAAGCGCACCAAGGAGGGGACTGAGGTACGAATTCCTAATAGCCATTAGGTTACCATGGCTCAGGATTCAAAGAACTGGAGGAAAAACTAAATCAAATAAAAGGAATAACTTATTAAAAGGAAACAAAAGAATATGCTGCATGGGAAATGCTTTAGACAATATTGGAACTTATTATAATACCTGCCAGTCCAGCTTACATCTTGAGTATTCCCACCAGCCCATCCTCAAAGTATGTGCACCTGTGCTGGCTCCACTCCCACCAACTATCAGCTCCTTCCCTATCTTTCTTCTCATCTTTGCCTAAATGCTATTGTCAAAGAGAGAGTTCCTTTTTTTTTTTTTTAATGCACCAGAATGATGCTTTGTAACTTTCAAAATTCTTTTTTTTAACTTTCATTATTTTATTTTTTAATTACACTTTACTTTCATTATTATTCTGTATTGGTTTCAGCTGTATAGCATAGTGAGTTCTTATTTAAGATGACAATCCTCCTTAAATTACCAATCTACAGTTACCATAGTTTCAATGATCGCCTGATTAAAATTGCAATCACAGCCTTTCACCCTAGTAATCCAGAATCCAGGCCCCTGAGTCGTCTTCTTCTTCTTCTTCTTCTTCTTCTTCTTCTTCTTCTTCTTCTGTCAATGGGCACCTCTAAGTTTATTATTTGTTCCTCATCACTGGAGATATATATATATATATATATATATATATATATATATATATATATATATATAATTTCCATGAAGATGGAGATTTTTTTCCTCCATTTTCTTTAGTCTTGGCCACATGCACCCTCCACCTCTTTTCTCACTGCTGTAGCCCTGACATCTAGAATGGTGCCTTAGCCAATAGGGGGCATTCAATAAATATTTGTTGCAGAACAATGAATGAATCCTGTTTGAAAAATTGATCTTTAGACTAATAGTGCTAACTTAAAATATTTACTATTTTATTAAAGTAAATTTTCAAATATTTAAATGATATAATTTATGGATTCTTGTGAAGATACATGCTCACCATTATCAACACACTAAAAAGTACTAAACCATCCTTGGGTACCTAGGATAAATTGCATTTTTACATATTTCTAAAAGCAGTTTTTAAAATCTATATTTTTATTTATTTCAGAGAAGAAGGGAGAGGGAGAGATAGAAACATCAATGATGAGAGAGAATCATTGATTGGCTGTCTCTTGCACGCCCCCTCCTGAGGATTGAGCACACCACCTGGACATGTACTCTTGACAGAATCAAACCTGGGACTTTCAGTCTGCAGGCGGATGTTCTATCCATTGAGCCAAACCATGTAGGACACATATTTTTAATACAATTTTAAACACATAAATACTTAATAACAAAGCAATTAAATATAATTTAAATTTTTATTGCATCCTTAATATTTTTAATGAAGAAATAAGAGGTGACGGAAGAGAAATATAATGATTATTAGTGAGAGGAGTTTCAATTGTTGGGGAATTGGGTACCTTTTTTGATATTGGTATGGATGCTATAATAATTTGCTGTTATAGGAAAGTTAAGGATTTTCAAAGGGAAGAAATATGAGAGAATTTTAGTAGTATGTTTGTGTTGATTTCATAATGCTACTAATTTTTCAAATGTAAAATAAATCATAATAGATTCCTTTTGGCATTCATTTGGATCCAGGGGAAATTAGCAGAAAATTCAGGGAGCTATCTGCCTATTGTATTTGTTTATTGACAAAAACTATCAGTTTTTATTGTTACTTATATAACAATTTGTTCATTTATTTATGTATAATAATTTTAATGTTAAAAGAAAAAATTCACAAGCTATAATGTAAATGTCCTTATTTTAAGACATTATAAACAATTATTCAAAACATATACTATATCAATGGTTTAAATATTTCTTTTTTTTAATCAATCATCTTTATTGTTCATATCATTTCTTCCCCCCTCCACCAGGTTCCCACCCCACTTTCTGCACCCTCCCCACTCCCCATTGTCCTCATCCATAGGTGCACAGTTTATGTTCAGTCTCTTCCCGCATCCACCACTCCCCCTTTCCCCGAGAATTGTCAGTCCACTCCCCTCCCATATCTCTGATTCCATTATAATCAACAGTTAATATTTTTCATCAGGTTTTTTAATTTCCTTGTTTTTTTGTAATGGTTTAAATATTTCTTAATGATAAATTGTAATACTGAATGCAATCAAAGTAAAATTAAATTTGCCTGGCTAGCATGGCTAGTGCTTGAGCATTGACATATGAACCATGAGGTCATGTTTTGATTTCCATTCTAGATGTTGCCCAGGTTTCAGGCTCAATCCCCAGTGTGGGGCATGTGGGAGGCAGCTGATCAATGATTCTCTCTCATCGTTGATGTTTCTATCTCTCTCCTTCTCCCTTTCTCTCTGAAATAAATAAAAGTATGTTTTTAAAAAAAATTAAACTAAATTTCATTTTCCACATTCATGTATTCACTTCAAGGCCCACCTCAGATCTTCTTATCCAATATTATTAATTAGTATAATTATAAGTGCAATTATTCAGACTTCAACTGAACTAGTGTGTGTTTTTGTGTCTTTCTTGTGTGGCACTACTTTTTAAACTAATAAACTTTTCCACTGTTATCATTTGTTTCATGACTCAGAAATGTTTATTTAAAAAAATGTTTCAAATGATAAAACACTAAAAAAAATAAAGAGATAGGAAATAATCCATGTATGACCAATAAATGGTGCTGCTGATGCTACTAAAAAGACACTTTGGTGTTTGAAGAGATCAGATCTTTTCAAGTTTCTGAACTTGCTTATTCTCCTACTCAGAAAATCATAAGACCATTCAAAGTGAGCCCTCCAGACCCCATGAGCAGGTCCTATCTGTATTATGTCCAACTGTACTTCCATGTTAAAAAATGAATATAGTTAAACCAAAATAACTATTTTGGTTAATAGTTTTTAAAAATATTCTTCCATTTAGATGTTAGAAGATATTGTTCTAATGGATACCACCCAGGCTGTTAGCTCAGTTTGATGGGTTTATTCACAAAGCTCATATTTATTACAGTCCAGCATGATGACTGATGGGTAAGAGGAACCTACACGATCTCTGAGTGAAGTCTCCTACTGCACATTATGTAACATTGCAAGGGTGACAGTACTTCGATGGATTTATAAATACATCACCTCGCCTCATTTGTTCAGACCTTAAATATTTCATAGATGGCAGTGATAATTCCACATTCCACATGGAAAGGCTGTGAGCGTATTTCCTGAGAAAATGGTTTGAGTTACATACTAGAGAGGATGATCAAAAGACTTAAAGTAATTCACCCTTTAGGGTGACTAAGATCTTCTATTATTCCTTTAGTCGAAGAGCATTCTGCTTTCTTGGCTGTCAGTGTGTCGGCATTTCTACAGGTTAGACTTTGGTTTTACTCAGAACGATCACTTGCTCACCTGTAATGAATGCATGTACCAACATTTAAGCACACGTTCACAAGAGCATTAGACAAACAAGTCTAATTTGTGAATTCAGATTCTTCCTGGCTGCAGTCGGCTGTTCCTTCGAACTCATAATACAGGCATTTTTGTGGAGGTCTGAGCCAACAGTAATGGGTTCCAGTCCTTACTCACCCCCAATATTTTACTTAGAAAATATAATAAATATTGAAAAGGAAATTAGGAAGGCAGTCACAAAGTGCATTCCTTTGTATTTACGTGTGTCTTATCTTCAGCAACCAATTTTCAATCCCAGCTGAAAAGTCCTGATTTCCTAAGGTGTGGTGAGTAGCCATGTTTCTCAATTTGGGAGGGGTGCATGTGTGCTGGGGAATTAGCTGAAAAGAATCTTCCCTGCCCATAACTCAGTTGAGAATAACTGTACCACTAACAGTGGTCAAAAAATTAACTTATACCATCTACTCGGGGAAGGGGTGGGGGCAGAGAGAAATATGAAAATTGACAATCACCTCTCCATACCCATCAGCCAATCAGGAGTGAGTATGCAAATAAACTGACAAAGATGGCGGCATCCCCGCCACCCAGCCATTCGTGTAGGCACGGAGTGACCAGGTGGAGTGACCAGGTGGAGTGGGACGCCTGCTGTGAGGGGGAGGGCAGGAGGCGGAGAGAGCTACAGGAGCAGTGCTCCAGCTGGAGCAAAGATTGAACCCTCTGGCCGGAGTGAAGACAGAAGACAGTGGCCAGAGCAAAGGCCTGGCTCCTGGGTGCCAGAGGAAAACTGGTGCCAGCAGCCGGGGGAAGAAAGGCCTATTGTATGAATCTTCATGCAATGGGCCCCTAGTAGTAAGATATATTTTATTATCCAAAAGCCAACTTTAAAATATAACATTTATTCATACACGTATACACACTTCTTTCTATTTACATAAATAAAAACCACTATCAAAGGTTCAAGTTGACAACCTTAAACCGTTCTCTTCAGTAAAAAAAATATGCAAGAAAAGATAGGTTTTTAAAAACTTGAAAGCAGAATTTCATCTTCCATTATGAGAAAGCTCCTGGTTTTTTCACCCATTAAGTAAGTTTTGAAGAAGGAGATCTTTCCCTCTAATATATGTTTGCTTGATTTTCTGCAATGTCATCTTGCTGCAAAGCTATTGATGTATAATGGATTCCATTAAATACTGGCGTTGGGCCATTCTAACATGCACGTTTAAAGTCTGTTTCAAAGACTAAGTAAGACCCACGGAATGATCCTTCTCATTCAGATGTTCAGCCAGCCAGCTCAGTTCCGTAGCCTAACCAACATCAAGTAGGGGGTAGAGTCTTCAGTCTTCAAGTCACTATAGAAAAGATCACACAGTCATCAAGATCAAGCACATTAACCTGCAAGAATGTAATTGCTGTACCACCGCCCTTACTATCTCCAGCGTCCTATACCACCGCATCACAACTAATTGCTTTAATCTAAGAGATGGCTGTTAATTGATGGCTTTTAATTCCCCAAGAGACACAAGAGAATCACATTGTGGAAGCATTAAACTTATGCAAATCACATAGTTGTATTAGAACAAAAGTGAGGAAGCCTGTAGGTGAGGGGTCGGGAGAGTTAGAACCTGTGTCTGCCACTCCACACAGTGAAGATACTCACCGGAGTGACCTAGAGGTGGGAAACACATCAATACTCCCTCAGGATGTTTTAATTCTGTGCGTTTCTTAAAGCCTGATCTTCCCTTCCCTTCTCTCCTCTCTCTTTGTGCATGTGTGAGTGTGAGTGTGTGCGTGTTTGCGTGTGCATGCGTGCATGTGTGTATGTGCATGTTTTGTTTTTGTTGTTGCTGTATAATGACCTCTAATCTCCACATCTACTGGTGTTCAACCCAAGAAACATCTATATGTTCTAATGCTCAAGGGAAAGCAAAGCAAAAACAAAACACGAACTTGTTTTTGGGTGCTTACTGAGCGGTGGCATGGAAATATATTTTATAGGTGATTTAAGAGATTTGCCTAGATTAATCTTTAAATGTACCTTTTTTTTGAGTTAAGGGCTATTTTTATACTCCACTCTCCCTAGAGTTGTAAGCCCACTGTAGGTTGGTGAATCCAGACTTACCACACCATCCTATTGCTCACATTCTCAAAGGAACCAATTAACCATATTTATTGTGCAAACATGAGACCTACCACTGAGATAAGGTATGTGGTGAAATGACTGTAACTGATAAGGGCTACAACAACTATTACAGATATAGGAAGAGTAACCCCCAATGAATGTATGGCTGAGAACCCACAGAAAACCAGCTCGATCCAATGTGAAGACTAATTTCACTTTGCACCAATCCCTAGCTTTATATAATCATTGTTATCCCTTATTATATGGTCATTGTAACATATTAGCATTCTAAATCATACACCTGGCTGCCATGACTGGAAACAGAAAGCCAATCAATATAAGAACACAATATGGCCCCTTGAGATCTTCCAAGAAGTCTCCATCCTAAATGTTCCTTTCCCTTATTGAATGTTCTTTCCTCAGATTAAATGATCCTCAATAAAGGATGTAAATCCCACAAGGACAGGGCTGCTCTGCCTATGCAGTAGCCTTCTCATTCACTGCTTCACTATGAAACTTTCACTTTGAACTATATTCTGGCTCAGCTTTGAACTTGTTCCTACATGAGGCCAGGAGCTAGCAGTGGGTCCAAGACCCTCAGGGCCCTGGACCCCTGGAATGCCTGCATCACCATCATATCATCCACACTGCAATTTCTATCAAAAATCATAAAACAAAGGGCATATTCAGCCCAGTTTCTTTTTTTCAATTAGGAACTATTCCCATGTGCTTTTTCCAAAGTCATAGGAAGAGAATAAATCTTTAAAACTAAAAGGCCTTTCATTCTAAATTAACCGCAGCTGCCGTAGGATTGCCCGTAGAAGCCATTGTCTCCTCTCTTCCTGCAGCTTTCCCCGCTGGGATCTCGGCACTCATTACTGCAGTGGTTACCATAAGGAGACAACCAGTTCCTGGTTAGCTCCATTCCTTCCAGGGTGAAAACAGTGGATGCTGGCCACAATGCCTCACCACCCCCAGGAGAATGGTATCTGGTGTGGATGGAAAGGGGCCACGGACTAAACCTGACAAGCTCAGAGGAGACCTACGTGGCAGTCCTTGCCAACTCAGAGACTTACAGTAACCAAATAGGGTTGTCTGAAATTAAAACTTCCTAACCAAAAGCAAGTCAGGGTGGTTAGTCATGTCTTAGGCCAGTAACTTCCTTGACAAAGGTCAGTCTTTACCTTAACTGGGTCTGTTTGTTGTCCTTTAGCAGGTACAGTAACAAATCCTTGGACTGTCAGAATAATCCCCTTTTTCCAGACCCTCAGGGCACAGTCTCCCACCAGAGAGAGACCATGCAGCCCCTCGCTGGTATCCTTTTCTCCCACATACCAGCTGTATGTGCTCTAAATGTTAATTAACTCTCCTGTACCCACCAATGTAGAAGGATTTGTCTTTCAGTTTTATTCTTTACCTAATCTCTGAGATTTCCCTGCTTTGCTTTCTCTCACCTCCCTAAGCTACCACCAATGAATATCATTATAAAACTCCCTCCCTTAAATCTCCACCTTGGACTCTAATGTATAAAATAAGCTGCAAAACTGCCATTCTCCAGAGCATTTGCCCAATCTGTTGTGATTTTGCTTCCTGTCAATTGTCGTTAGTTTAACTCAAGTAAAGTAAAAAAAAAAAAATGTCTACAGGTTCTTATGTAGATGACACTGTTAACCGAGCAAAAATTTGACCATCCTCTCCTCCCTTGAATAGTCACAAGTCACGTTTTGCCTTTCTATTCCAAACTCTTCCCCCTCCCTGCTCTGCAGTGGCCTTAATAAAACCTCGGTATAATGGACTAATTCAAGTAAGGGGGTGTCTGTTAAAGCAGAAAGTCCCTTATATGACAAAGTAGGTTTTCCAAATGTGTGTGTTAAAAATTTAACAAATTACTTAGTTTACCTGCTTTTACTTATGGAGACCTGCTTGTGTAATTAAAATTCAGTATGTATCAAAGGTTTAATTTCCCAGAAAAGTTTTCTACATGTATTACTATACTTTTAAATTTACACTGAGTAGGTCTAGTAAATGCATGCATTCATCAGTCACCATGAATAAGCAAATGCACATGGCTGGGCGGGGCTTAGCCCATGTGGGAACATAGGCCAGCAGGAATTAAAAGTCTGCCACAAAAGTCTCCAGATAACAGAATCAATTACCATGCGAGTGATGCGGTGTGATCAAGTGCCAATCACTGAACACTGTTTATGAGCAGTGACTCTAGGATTTAAACATGTAGACTATAGTTTTGGTATATAGTATTGATCTACGTTTGTGAAATTACTAGTGCTTTTTCCAACATATGGCCTATTCACTAAAATTTGTTAACAGTGAATTCATGATAAAAAAAAAAATAACCTATTAATGTAATTATAAGCAAATCCTGGTTAAAAGTGTTTTTAAATTCTCAGGGTGTTAATTTTCACTGATGACATATGGACTGGAAATTTTGTCTGTTAAAACTGAAATTCATTAAATTGAGGCCCACAAAATTGAGGATTTGCTGTACTCTCACTGCTTCTGAAGTTTGGGCGTTTCACTGCCTCCTTTACTACTGCCGGGGCTACTTTCATTTCTTGATTAGAAGTTGCAGGGTTAATGGCCAAAAGTTAAGAATGGAGCATCTGGAGGCCCAATGATTTTAGAAGTCTGGCTCATCTTGGTTTCCCTCTAGGCTGTAATTACGTATATGATTAGCCAAGTGCAGCACTTGTTTCAGGGACTAAGACAGAGATGCTAAGGCCTAAACTCCTAGCCTGATGCTAATCGCAGCAGGATTCTCCAGCTCAGGCATGCACCACAAGTTTCAGAAAATGGGCTTCTGCCCCTGAGGGGCTAGACTGGGAAATGCAAAAGCTGCTAGAAGAGGAAGGTTTTAATCACTTTTTAAATTATTCATGTAATTACAGACTGTTTTCTTTTAAGTGAATATTTCAGAGAGTATTATAAAAATAAGATTTGAGACCAGGAGTCTTTTTTTGTTTTGTTTTGTTTTGTTTTACATCTTGTCGCTTTGAATTTGTCAACACTAGAAAGTGACTTTGATGGTTTCAACTATCATTTCTATTGATTTACTGGGTCATTATCGCTACTTAATTGGGCCATTATTAGGTAGTTATTGAAGACACTTGTCATTAGCAATGCAGTCAGTAAAGTGAACTACAAGGAACTAACTAGTCTTACCCTCTTGACATTTATTGCCTATTTTGATTTGAGGCATGGACATTTAAATAAACATAAGCAATTTATGCTTAAAATACTCTTCAATGGCACAGAACATGTGGGCAGCAGAAGAACAAGGACAAGGGAGGAGCCGATCTAGCTTGTTTGCAGGAAGTATTGAAGCCTAGGTTGGGCTTGTTTTATAGCGAAGAAGAGGCAAGCGATATATAAGTGGATTAATTCATTTATTCAGCAAGCATTCATATGTTAGCTCTGAAAAGTCCTAGCCTTGAAGAAATGAGAAACAGACAGTAAACAATGACATAAATATTAATACATTGGAATCTCTCTCTAGTGGGATGAAGGTCAACAGTCATGAATGTTGTGAACGCAGGTGGGGATAGAAGAGAGACTTTACCTTGTAGCCACAGCCTTAGATACCATTGTCCTACGAGTTTCAGACCAAAGGGCCACCTTGGTTTTTAGTTCTTTATTCTAAAGTTGAAAAAAAAATAGTTCAGAAATCACATAGCTAGCACATTAATCATGCTCCTGATCAACCCTACGTCACTCCTTGTCGTTCCTGTCAGAACACAGAAGGCAACCAGTTGAAAGTCACTAATATCTCTGAAATTACATACTCCCTAGCTGGGTGACCTCATTCAGTTACTTAACCTCTCTGTGCCTGATTTCTTCATCTGTTTATTAGATAATATCATAGTCTGTTCTTCAGAGGTTCTGAAATGAGATTAAAATATGTAAAGAACTCAGCTTAGTTCCAGGCACTGGTTTTTAAGACTTAAAGGCAATTGGTTTTGAACTTCACTGAGTAACTGCCCATCAATGGTATGTTTGCAGGGTTTTTTGCATTATATTTGCTTATCCATATTTACTACTTTACATAGAATGAATTAATATGTTAGCTGTGTAAAAATAACGTAAGAAAAATATTTTATCAAGTGCTATTTGCCAAAAGGCCACTACATAAGATAAGCAGTGAGGAGATGGCTTTAAAAACAGGTAAAGGCTGGAGACAGCAAACAGGCATTCTGACTAAGCTGGCCTTAAACAAGCTTCTAATGCTAATCCATATCAGCTCTCTCCACAATATAGCAAGTGTTCTGGAAAATTTACATGGACTTTTAACAATTATTTATCAATATGTAATGTTAATAATTTAATAATACCAAGTGTTTAATACCGATAGTTTAGTCATGATTAAGAGCACCTCTCCCCAGAGCTATAATTTCTTATGCATAGAAGATGCACATATACACACATTCACAAAAAGACACTCATAGATCACCACAGATATGCACATATACTCACACATGAACACCCAGACACAGTCACACACAACTACATACATACATACCACACAAGACATTAATACACAGGTTCACAGAAATACTGAACACACACACACACACACACACACACACACACACACACACACACAGAGTCACATTCACACTGAAATATATAACATTCCTCCTTACCTGGGCTTCAAGTACATTAACTTTATCTTTCAAATTTTCAATTCTTTTATCTTGTTCTTTTAAATTAATTTTTAAGCCTTCCATCTAAGAATTAGGAAACACAATTGAAAAACCTTGTCAGACAACAGGAAATAGTTATGTAAGCCTGAAACTGTGCAGGTTGCTGTGGTCAAAGGATGTACATCCAATACAAAAATGAAATCCGAGAGCATCAGGAGACTCAGTAGGCCGAGAAAATAGCTGAACAAATTGGCTCCTGGGGTTGTGAGCACAGAGACATTGCTGTGTGACATTTCAATCTTTGGGAAACCTGTTTAAACCAAATTCAGCAGGAGTGCTTCTGTGGAAAGCAGCATTGGCCGTCCTGGTGTCTCAGCCACATGATGTTTTCAGACTGCAGGTGCAGAGGCCAGTGGACCAGCTGCCAGGCCACTGCCTCGCGTGGGGCAGCAGCCTGCGGGAAAGATCTGGTCAACCCGCAGCGTGGTGAGGGGGCCTGCTTTGCTTCGGAAAGTGGCAGCGTGGAGCTGGGAGGTGGACGAAGTTCAGACAGGTGCAGGAAGAGGAAACACATGATTCTAAGGCCAACCCTGCCACCACCAGCTCCCTCATTTAACTGCTGTGGACCTCGGGGTTCCCATCTGTAAAAGGAGAACGTGGGTCGTCCCTAAGCCCTCTCTGGCTCCAAAGAGCCAACAGCCAATTCTCTTGGTGAGGTTCTAACCACGTGAGCACAAACTTCACATTCACATCAGGAAGGTGTTCGGGGTATTTAGAAAGACTCCTTTTGGAAACAAATGTTTGTACAAAAAATGAATGAAGAAACCCCCTTTTTAAGTAAATGTACACGAAACTCACCAATTATTCCTTCTTTGAGAAAAGGCTGAGCCTCCAAATATACACAATCTTCCAAAGAACACTGTACATTACCTGGCTCAGGACACTTAAAAAATCACAGAAACATCTGAAACAGCGATTTTCAACTGGCATGCCAAAAAATTTTTAAACATGCAATACCCGACTCTTTAGTCAGAGGCACTGACCTCTTTCCCTTTAGATTGTCAAATGAAAAGTGACAACAGCCAACACAACAAGAGCCATTCGGGTGTGAGTGAATCAAAATTATTGTTTTTTGTCAGATCAGCAAAAAACATATTTTGGTGTGCCGCGGGATTTTAGCAATGAGTTTGTGTGTGCTATGAGATGAAAAAAGTTGAAAATCACTGATCTAAAGAGCAGTTAAACACAATTTCCTCCATATCTTAGTTGAGAACATTCCAGGTGTTGGCGTACAGGAAAAAAACAGGGGGGGTGGTGGTGGCAGAGGGGGCATTGAAAACAGAGCTGTGTTGTCTGGGAACAAAAGCAGCCATTCGTGGGGAGAAGAATCCGGTTGCCTGTGAAGCCCAGGCAAGCCGCTCCTGTGGGGTCTTCTCGCTGTACACATACCATCTCCCCAGAAACGTCTGGATTAACCTGACCTCCTGTATGACTCTGCGCAGGCTCTGGTGTTGGGAGTGGATCACGAACTGCAGGTGAGAGATCTGCTCCTGGAGAAGGGAGATCTCCTTCTGAAGACCCTGGGCACTGGAGAGGCAAAAGGAGAGAGTAAAAGATTTCACGAATGCATCATACAGCTGTGTTTTTTTGTTTATTTGTTTTGTTTTTTACTGCTGTTTTGCTAGGTTCTCTTCACATGCTACCTGCTACCTGCTGGGCATTATGTGAGTCAGATGCCCAGGCCCCTTCACACAAGACACACGGAAGATAAACAGCCATAGGCAGCCTCTGGTTAGCTCAGATAGAAACTGCAATCATAATATAAATTCGTGTCAAACGCTCCTCTCTGGCCCACCAGCAGGTAGCTGAGCTGAGTTGAAGTGACCCAGGTGCAGCATCTGCCTATCGAATCTGTCTGCGTCTGAGCACCCACAGACCTAGCACCCATCAGAAGGCACAGAGAATTCAAGGTGGGTAAGAGTTTAGATCATGGGGCCAGGAATGGAGACCTTACCAGAAACTAATCTCCAATGTCATAGTTAGTATACCTTATAGATTGTGTGTTTGTCTATTTATTATTTTGGCTTCCTACTTTGGGTAATTCTGCTACCTATAAGTAGCTCAAGGGGGAGGGGGGGGAAGGAAGAAATTAAATTCCAGATAATATTTTGAAACTACATCAACCATTGTGGAAAAAGATGGCTGAAGTTTGAATTTAGATTACTCACAGTTTTCTAAAGCCTATTTAGGTAACTGGGATTGATTATATAGTTATAATCAATTGCTAATGTTATCTGAGTTATGAGATAACAGCATTATGGCAAGACCCACCCAACTTGGTAGCCTCTTGAGTTTGAAATCACACACCTTTCTAAGCCTCAGTATAATAGATATAATAACTCCTACCTCTTCTACTTTACAAGATTGTATTGTAGACTTAAAGGGATAAAGTAGATGTACTTTTGGAAAATGAGCTCTTTACAAAGTAATATATGAATATAATTTCCACTTATTAAGGTTTTACGATTATTGGCCAACATCCAATGCAATTGCAATTCTGATTTCCATTGCCTGTTCATATATTACAAAGGTCATGGAAATTCATGTCACTCTACAGAACATGTTCTCATTAGAGGAAAAGAAAAAAGTCTCTGTTTTGTGTCACAGCCTGTACGAAAAATTGCTTCTCAAACTGCATGTGCATTGGAGGATCTTGTTAAATCATCAGGGATCCTATGCACATTCTGATCCAGGAGGCAGGGGCTGTGCTTGGCATTCTGCCCAATCCAGGAAGCAGTATTAGGCCAGTCCGTCTCTTTCCTCTGGAACTGGAGAGGAAAGTGCAAAGGCTATAAACCAGCTGGTGAAAATGGTGGGAAACGTTAATGAACTGTAACAGGAAGAACAAAGGAAGAGCGAAACTGCTCACACCCAAGATGGAATGGGAGCAACAAAATAATCTGGTTTCTAAAACCCAACCTGTCTTCCTGGAGATGCCTGCGCCCGAGGGCCGCAGCTCTCCAATCTTAACCGGACAGAGATCTCCTTTATTTGTGGGAGCTTAACCGAGTCTCTACTGCTTTAACCTGAGTCTGATTCATGCTGGTTTCATTTTCTTGCCTCTTAGCAAAGTGAATACCTCTACACACAGCTCAGAAAAAGCAATAAATGAATATTTGTGACACTTAGAAATCTATGAGAACTGCATAAGCCTGGGTGTCCAAACATCTTTCTATAAACACAAAACATCCATTCCCCTCAAGATAGTTCTAAAACCTCTTTAAGAATTTTTTGAGAATTCTTTATAACCACTGCTCATATAGAATAGAACTGGAAAAAAAATAGAACAATTTCATATTTTCAAATGGTTACTTTTTTTTTTTTGGCTCAAAGACTGACAAAAACAAACAAACAAAAAACTATTATCAATAAAAAAAATCATTTCTAAAAGAAAATCCAGACTGTCAGGACTCATAACGGAACTCAGGAGTTGTTCACATCATTTTTTGTCACTTCCTACAAAGTTGGGGAACACCACAAACCTACCTTACAATTCCACTGCGGCTAGACAATGTAATGTCTGCTACTGCAGAGACCCATCAACAAAAAGTCAGAAGCTCAGAAGGAATGAAGACCTCCACAGCATCCCCTTTATCCCCAAGGGTAACTGGGGAGGGGAGGGGCTCCTCAATCTTCAGAAGGATTAACCTGCCCACAGTTTCCCTGGAGCCCAGTGAGTGGGGAAGGGGAGGCACACAGTGGCTAATGCCAGGAATTCTCTCCTCTCCCGCCTTAACAGGCCTCCTGCTCAGTGGACCAATGGAGAGAAAAGGTTCCAAGAACTGCTATGACTTAGGAGATAGATTCGCAAACCTTTTAGCATGTGTAGTGTTGGATTTGAGTTGCAGCAGTTTGTTTTCCAAAGTTAGTTTTCTTTCTAGCAGTGTTCTTTTTTCCTAGAAGAAAATAAGATACAATATTTGCTTAGTCCTCCCTCCCCCCCCTCCCTCTCTCTCGTCTCTATCTTCTTGCAATAACAGGAATACCTCTTGGTGCTTCTTGCAATAACAGGAATACCTCTTGAGCTAAAGAGGTCATTTTAAGGAGTAGTGACAACCCGCCCCAGTGCAGCCTGGCCAGGCACTCTCTGTGCAGTTTTCACGTAGTTTTCAAAGTGCGACTGCCTGCCCTGGCTGTGTTCACTGTCCTTGCCTGCCCACAGCACTCTCCCTGCAACCCAGCGCACAGCCTGCCCAGTGACTCCGCTCCTGCCTCTCCATCCCACTCCTGCAAGCCCCTGCTCATCCTCCCATGGCTCTCCCACCACAGGTGCTTCTCCATTAGACTGAGGTCGGTACCCAAGGACACTATAGTGCTTAACTGGATACCTACCTGCTCATAGGGCATCTGTCAGGAAGAAGGAAAGCAGTAAACGTATTTTTAGGGAAGGACCAAGGACACAAGTGATAAAGTCTTCCTAATTAGGATGTGCCAGTAAGCGAAATGACATGGAGAAAGAATAAGCCTTAATGTGCATTAATAAGCCAAACTCTTTCCATGTGAAAGGAAAATAGACAAGTCCATGGAAAACTGAGCTGGGGTGATTGTGTTCTTTTTTATATTTATTCCACACAATGCTGTTTACATTCACTCTTGCCACGGTATCTGTGTGGGCGAAACACAAGGCAGGCTGTACAGCAAACACAGCATTGGAGCGGCTTTGGACCTGTATTGACCTGGTTTTGAAATTTTACGGCTGCATAATTTTTGCCAAAGCTTTCATCTTTCTGGGCCTTATTGCTGTTAATAAAATCAGCCAAAACTTGGAAATCAAAGTAATGTACAGCATGTGGTTTTAATGTCATATTGGGCCACTTTAATAACCCGACCCAAGGATTATTTCATTCTCTTGGAGAATTTCCCTGTGTTTGATTTTTATTCTTTATTATGACAGCCCTGACTCTGAAGTTGAATGTTAATTTATAGATTCATGTCTGTTTGAAAAGATAATCCCAAAGGTTATGTATTAATTGCCTTAAAGAATATTAATTGGCTAAATATCTAACCTAGTAATCCTATTCTATATGCCTTTTATCAAAGTGCCTATAAATAGCCAGTTTCTCTAAGTATTTTATTTAAACCAGTTTTACTGGCCCCTTGTTAATGAATGATTTGAATGAACATCTGACATGTATTTATTCTATATTTGTATAAGTCATGTTTTTTGACTCTTTGAACATCTCTAAAATGGGAATAATATTCCTGTATTGAAAGTTGGGATGATTGAAGATAATATATGTGAAAGGCCTACAGGCTTTTCTGGATTGTATTAGGACCTCAATGTATAATAATTTAAAGGTGCCAAACAGTTCATATTTTATGTGCTGTTATTTTTAAAATTTATTCTTTTTCAATTTTTTTCCATAGCATTCCTGTGACATAGAAATTGTCCCAGTGTAGCACTAGTTGTGTTCAAGTTATCTCTGAGGGATCACAGATATGCCTTGTAAGCTTATTATAATACTCAGATAATCAAAGAAACATATTATTGATAATATGCTTTGAATTTGTGGGGAGAAAAATGGTGTTTGATGAACATTCTTCTTAATGGACTTATTCCATTATCGTTATAACCAAGGTGCAAGCAGACCAGACAACTGGACATGTCAATGTGCTGCCTTAAGGAGAAGTCTTAATGCTTCTTTTTTGACAACAAAGAAATTCACACTATCCTAGCCAGTGCTTCTCAGGGTTAGTGCCTTCTAAAAGGGAAAGAACTTCACAGCGCCACCCAGTGGGCAATCCACTCTCCCAAATCACCCCTATTCATCATAATGGAACAGACACTAATTTAAATCATGGCCAGATGTTAACATCTAAATGACCAAGGATGTCATTTTTATCCAGCATCAGAGAAGACGAAGAGATAGAGACGTAATGGAAAGGATTGTAAACTTGTAATTGGATGACCATGGAATAGTTCCTGTTTGCATTGTCCTCATTTATAAGATGAGGAGGAGGAACTAGATGGTCTCAAAAGCACCTTTGAACTCTAAAATTCTAATAGAGCTAAGTCAATGACACTAGAAAACAAATATGGTGCAACAGAATTGCACTGCTCGCAAAAGGAACATATGCTGTATCACAAGGCTCTGACTGGACGTTTTTGCTGGCTTATCATTGTGTGTATGGAATTCATTCTCACTGCATCCCTGATTAAAGTGGGACAGATGGTGAGGGTTGTAGTAATGTGTTCATTACCAGACCTCATACCACTAATGGCTATTTACTGGTGAGTAGAAAATGACTCCTTCTCCGGGGGCACCCCCTACCAGGGTGGTATTTATCAACCTTTGTTGTAGATGTTCATTTTTCAATTTTCATTTCCTTGTTGGACTCACCTTTTTCCCATTATAAAAAAGTCTCTGTACCTCCGTCCCTTCTTCTGATACACACTCTGCACCTGAGAAACCCTTCATCACAGCCTATATTCTCAGTATCTCTTTAAACCAAGATGCTTTGCCCAGCTTTGCTTCTTAAAGTTTTGTTTCTTTACATGTTTGCTTTACAAATATAAAGTATCTTTAAACTAAAAGTCTTTAAAAAAAAAAAAAACACACAGAAAAACTCCAGTTCCCTTCTATTCCATCCTCACCTACCCTTCATCCCAGACATCCAAATGGATCCACTCTAAGAAACCATTGAACTAGTATTCTGGAAGTTACTGCAAGGCCTTTCTGAGCCAAGGACATCTTGTCCACTCACTCTGTCCCAGAACTCCTGGAGCCAATATCAAGACAAATGCTCATCACTTCTGAGACATCTCACCTATCTTCAGTAGGGGTGCCAGCATCCCTAAGGAGCCCCAAGAGAATGAATGGATGAAGGGAGATCTGGAAAGTTCCTTGAGTCCCACACAATCCAGATATATTAAATTGTACTCTCCATAAACAGACTGTATCTGGTTCTTTCATAAAGAGATAACTAGCCTCTAGCTCGGGCTGGTACATAATAGGTGCTCAAATATTTTGGGATTAAGTTGAATATATTCCAGAATTCTGACATGAACCTATATCGAGTACAGGTTTCTAGGAAATGAAAAGTATATCTCATGGTTCTTTTGTCCATTTTTAGGGACTGAGAGTTGGCCCCTAAGTCTCACCCATAGCTGCTGGGTTTGAGGTGAGTGCAAGTCTAAATTTAAATGTCAAACTAGTTAATCAAGTTGTTTGGTTAACCAACTCTATTTGCATTCCAGAATTGTCTTTCTTTCCTAATGGTAAGCATTCTTTGTGCTTAGTTTGTTAAATTATTTATTATATGATAAATATCCTAATACTACAAATAGTCATTCAAATATTACATCATGTCCAGAACATCATAATGATGGACAGTCACTCTTGGGCAAACCAATTGCTTAAGGACATTGTGGCCCAGTGACTTTGGCTCTAGTGCAACACTCGGTGACCTATTGCACAACATAGATATATTATATTATAGCTGTGTATTATTATTATTTGATTCAGTTCAGTTTAGGCTTATGTAGTTTTTGTGGTTTCCTCAGGACTTTCATTAAGATTACAAATTTGGCCAAATGCACAGAGTTATCAATTAAATTCTTGGAACATATTTAAAAATTAATCGAAGTCCTTTTGCCAAGAAACATGAATATTGAAACGGGATGCTTTTGAAGTGACATTTCTAAAATGGGATCAACTGGGGGAAACTCATTAAATAAAACAAGCCTGGAAAGAACATAGGAAATCAGGAAATCTATATTAATAAAAGGGTAATATTCAAATTGGTCAGGACGCCCTCACAGTAATGATCAAACAGCAGGCTGCATGAGGTGACTATGCTGGCAGGGGGATTAGTGAGGGACAACAGAAAGACTGAACAGCAGGCTGCGTGGGGCAGTTGGTGGCAACCAGGCTGGCAGTGGGGGCAGCAGTTGGGGGCAACCAGGCCAGCAGGGGGAAGTTGGGTGGTGACCAGGCAGGTGGGGGCATTTGGGAGTGACCAGGCCAGTTAGGGGTGATCAGGCCAGCAGGCAGAGGTAGTTAAGGATGATCAGGCTGAAAGGGGGGGCAGTTAGGGGCGATCAGGTAGGCAGGTGAGCAGTTAAGAGCCAGCAATCCCAGATTGTGAGAGGGATGTCCAACTGCCAGTTTAGGCCGGATCCCCTGGATAGGGCCTAAACTGGCAGTCAGACATACCTTGAGGGGTCCCAGATTGGAAAGGGTGCAGGCTGAGCTGAGGGCAACCCCTTCCTGTACACGAATTTCATGCACCAGGCCTCTAGCTAATATAATAAAAATATAAAATGTATTAGAAAGTATTTACTGGAAGTCAAGTCTATATTCTTATCTACCCCCAAGTCAGTTTCAGAGATGCCAATTTTCCATTAGTTTGTTTTGCTCTTAAAAAAATGAATATATATTGGTTTGTCTGAATTCTAAATTTTGAGACATGGATAATTAAAATTATATACTCACTTTTGTATATATTTGGAGTGACAGCTACTTAAAGGAACACTGTATGTAACTTTCAATAAATTTTTCTTCGGCTATTACTTTCTCTACATTCTTTTGTATAGAATGTCTTTTTTTAATGTGAACTCTATCTGTTCCACTGTAGCCACAGGTGTTACAAACCTACAGTAGATGTGGTTGGCCAAAAATGGGCACCTGGTTGACTATCTAACCTAATAATAGAGTAATATGCAAATTAATCATCACTTTGCTACCAGCCAATCAGGGCAATTATGCAAATTAACCCAACCAAGATGGTGGTTAATTTGCATATCAAGACAGTGTAGAAAGAAGCCAAGCCTGCAGAAGGGAGTGAAGCTGTGGAGAAGCAAGCAGGGCAAGGAGAAGGGAGGAAAGCAGATGGGACTGGGGTAGAAGGGAGGAAAGCAGGCAGGGCAGCAACCACAGCAGGAAGCCCTATTGCAGGAATCTTTTTGCAATGGGCCACTAGTAATACATAAAAATGCTAAGATTATAGGGATCCATCCGTGATATTATTACTATCCTATCTAATAAATGAATAATATACAAATTGACTGTACCTCTGCTACACCCATAAGCCACACCCACCAGCCAATCAGGCCTGGTGCTGTAGCCACAGAGAGAGCAGGAGGCTTGGGTTTTCCCGGCAATGGAGAAAGCCAAGCTTCCTGCACACCCTGGCCGGTCCAGGCCTCCACTCAAAGCTACAACATTTCAATTATAGAAGATAAATAAATCCTAACAAAATTGACTGCAACCACAGAGTGAGCAGGAGGTTTGGGTTTCCCTGGCTATGGAGGAAGCCAAGTCCCTAGCCTGCCCTGGCCTGCCCGGGCCTCTGCTGAAGGCTACAAAGTTTCAATTATAGAAGATAAATAAATCCCAGATACCAGGGCCTCCACTTGGGTCGCCAGGTTGTGTGTGGCCAGCCTGCAAACCACCACAGGCCCCTCGCTCAGGCCGTCCCATGCTCCAGGGGAACCTCCACCCTGATCCAGGACACCCTTCAGGGCAAACCAGCTGGCCCCCACCCATGCACCAGGTCTCTATCCTATCTAATAAAAGAGTAATATGCAAATTGGCTGTCATTCCGACACACAAGATGGCTGCCCCATGTGGACACAAGATGGCCAACACAAGATGGCCAGCAAGTGAGGGGCAGTTGGGAGGGACCAGGCCTGCAAGGGAGGGCAGTTGGGGGCAATCATGCCTGCAGGGGAGGGCAGTTTGGGGGTGACCAGGTCAGCAGAGGAGGAAAGTTGGGGGCGACCAAGCCTTCAGGGAAAGGCAGTTGGGGAAATCCAGGCCTGCAGGGGTGACCAGGCCTGCAGGAGAGGACAGTTAGGAACAAACAGGCTGGTAGGGGAGTAGTTAGGCATCGGTCAGGCTGGCAGACAGAAGCAGTTAGGGGCAATCAGGAAGGCAGGCAGGTGGGCAGTTGGGAGCCAGCAGTTCTGGATTGTGATAGGGATGTCCCAGATTGGAGAGGGTGTAGGCCTGGGCTGAGGGACAAATCCCCACACCGTGCACACATTTCATGCGCCGGGCCTCTAGTTAATAAACTTGGTGATCTTCTCCATTGTTTCCATTCAATGTCTCACCCTTTCTAAGTGTCACATTTACCGGAAGGAGAAAGTTACAGAGTTATGACATCCGTATTTATGGAGAGGTCAGTCCTGAACAAATAGATCATATTAAATGTGTAAGGACAGAAACTAGCATCACTGAATTCCTCCATAAAGTCTTAGGAGTTCAAAGAGTACTGCTACTTAATGTTATCTTATTTTTTTTTTTTTTTGGTGCTATTTTTTTAATTGCAGGAAGAAATCCCTTTAATTCTCTAGCCTTTTACCTTTTCCATTCTCTGTACGAGGCTCTCCAATGCTGTAATTTGATTATGCTTTTCTTCAAGTTTATCAGCAACTTGATTCAGATGTTCAACCTGTTGTTTCAATTCCTGTTCTTTTTCAAGTTTGTTAACCTTTGGTCAGAAAGACAATTGTCAGTTTATTAATTTGTCAAACCTATACAGTAAATCCTCAATTTTGCAGACCTCAATTTAACAGACTTTGGATTTAATGGACAAAATTTCTGGTTCATATATTATATGTGAAAATTAACACCCTGTTAATTTTAAAATGCTTGTAACCTAGATTTGGTTATAATTAAATTAACAGGTAATTTTTTTGTTAAGTCGCTATTATTTTTAGCAAACTTTAACAAATAGCCCTAACTGTTTTTGGCTCAGTGGATAGGGCATTGGCCTGCACACTGAAAGGTTCCAGGTTTGATTCCGGTCAAGGGCATATGCCTGGGTTATGGGCTCCATCCCCAGTGCGGGGGACATGCATGCCACAGCAGATCAATGATTCTCTGTCATCATTGGTGTTTCTAACTCTCCCTCTCCCCTCCTCTCTGAAGTCAATAAAAAAAATTTAAAAAAAATAAGCCAGATGTTGGAAAAAATACTGTAGTAATTTCACCGACATAAATATTATATATCTACAACCATAGTCCACGTATTTAAATCCAATAGTCTCTGCGTGTAAACAATGTTCAGGGAATGATTAGCACGTGATCATACCACATCATGTGAGGTATTTAGTTCTATTGTCACACAGTGTGACTTTCTGCAGCAGTTGTAATGCATGCTGGCCAAAGTTTCCAGTGCACTAAGCCATGCTCAGCCGAGTGCATTTGCTTACTCCTGGTGACTGATGAATGCACACATTTACTAGATCTATTCAGTGTAAATTTAAAATTACTGTACTACATATAGAAAACTTTTCATACCTACTTCATTTTAATTACACAAATGTGTCTACATAAGTAAAAATAGGTAATCTAATTTGTCAAATTTTTAACATACACATTGAAAAAAATCTACATTCCTATATAACGGACTTTTCGGCTTTAACAGATGACTCCTTGCCCAAATTAGTCCATTACATCAAGGTTTTACTGTACAAATATTACCTTCTATAATTTTCTGAATAACCGCCCCCCAAAAATAATAACAATTTGCACTTGTTTAGAATTCATTTTTTAATTCAGTGTTTCCTTCTAAATAAACCTGACAGGCTACAACAACACCAAATCAATGAAGAATTAATAATATAGAAATATCCCTAGAATGTTTACACTTGTTACCACAGAGCGTACTATTTGAACTGATATGAGAAAGAGGAACACAAATTTAAGAAAAACAAAAAATTTTACCTTTTCTCAACAAAACATATCTGGAACAAAAATGAAACTGTATATGTTTTTTAAAAATATATATATATTATTGATTTTTTACAGAGAGGAAGGAAGGGAGAGGGATAGAGAGCTAGAAACATCGATGAGAGAGAAACATCGACCAGCTATCTCCTGCACACCCCCCACCGGAGATGTGCCCACAACCAGTGTACATGCCCTTGACCGGAATCGAACCTGGAACCTTTCAGTTCACAGACGCTCTATCCACTGAGCCAAACCGGTTTCGGCAAAAATTGTATATGTTTAAGACAAATAATGTTTTATTTTAACACAAAAGTGTCATAAAAGCAGAATAATTCTCTCCACCGTGTCCAGGCGGGGAGCAGCTGTGCTGAAGACCCATGGAGAGCAATCGACCTGGCCACCCCCAGCCACAGGTGGGCGCGTTTCAGCTGAATTCTGACATGCACACTCACAGCTGCATGTGCAGTTAACAGATTTGAGAGTGTGCAGTTTAAAAATGTGTCCGGCTTCCCTTGACAATACCAGGCAGGCATTGCTGCCAGGCCACTCCAGGCTGGGGCTGAGCCCCTTGGCCGGGACATGTGCACTCCAGTCCTGCAGGCTCACCCCTCACAGAGCGCTGGGGTCCACACAGCCTGTCCTGTCACTCAGGCTCCTATCCAAACCCTGCACCTCCACAGGCTGAAGCAGGAAGGCATGTCACCCAGGAGAGAATTTCCTACTGTGTCCCCACTGTGCTTTCCTAGGGCCAGTGCTGGTGAGGATCCAGGCATGAATGAGCTTCCAATTCGACACACACACACACACACACACACAGACACACAAGCTCTATTGTTTTTCTTTCCCAGCTCTAGAATACATTCTTTAGAAAAACTTTTATTGGTCTTACAATATATACTTCAGATTAAAAAAACAAAACAATGAAACATGTGTGTCTACTATATATATATGTATATATAAAATTAATTTTTATCTATTAAAATAAAAAATATAAAATTGTTATATATCTTAAAATATATAACTATATATATGTATACATAAAATATATATGTATATATACACATATGCTTGTGTTTGCTCAACCAGAAATGTATTCTAGGATCAAAGCTATTTTGAAACCATTTCACTAGCCCAATTCTTTCGTTTTAGACACAAGGAGGTTCAAATACAGAAAGGTGGAAGGACTCAACCTCAGCTAGTCAAAGGCAGACCCAGAGGAGAAGTCACTGGGCAGGGTAACCTGAGAAGGCTCTGATTTCTAGGCAGGGTGGTTTCCCCCACCTGCCACCTGTGCTCTGCAGGGCCCTGGGCAAGGATGCTAACACAGCAGCTTGGCAACATCCAGGAGCCCACAAAGCAGGGGTGAGGGGTTGAGAGGGATGGTCACAGCACTTCCTGCCCTTCCCATTACTTGTTTGGCATTTAACTCTTCAGAAAGGGGGACCAGGACGACTGGAGGCGATTTACCCAATAGGCAAGTACCTGGAGGAAGTGTGTACTGTCCTCATGCTGCTTTCTAACTTCCTCCGACTGTGTTTGGTAGATTTCAAATAATCTCTGGGCCACATTTCTCAGAGCCGCTGCGCCTGCTTCCCTGGAGGCTTCCAACTAGGAAAGAAAAGAAAAAAGGTCACCGTGCAGGTTCTGACATTTACAGTGAAAAGGTTCTAAGGCAGAATGGTTTGACGGGCAATTAAAAACACAGAGGCGGCAAAACACAGAGGCGGTAATTGTCTGGTTTGCACCACAGTTGTCACTGGACAGGAGAAAAGATGCTTAATTTGTAAAAGGAAAATGTAAAATGAGAAACCCTACTTAGTGGGGCTGTCACGCAGGCTGGCTGGCCCTGGGCAGGCCAAACCAGAGCTCCACGAACAGCAGTGCCCTGCGTGTACAGACCGGACCCTTCGGACTTCCACAGCGCCCATCAGCTTATGCATGTATCTGCCATGTTCACAGCAGTATTAAAAGTTGTACTGTCCTGAAATAACAGTGATTGGAATAGACAAGATTGGAGTACTAAGGCAGTAAAGCTAAAGTGTAATGAATCTTTTAAGAATTTAACCTAAGGAAATAAATCAAGGATGACTGCAAAGATTTACCTACCAAGACAGTCATTGCAGGACTGTATATGTATATGTATATGTATATGTATATGTATATGTATAATATATCATGATTTATTAAACGTGAATACTTTTAAAAATTTATTGTACTAAGAACACTTCACACAAGACCGACCCTCCTTAACACATTTTCAAGTGTCCAGCAGTATTAACTAGAGGCACCATGTCATATAGCAGCTCTCTAGAAATTCTTCATCTGGCACAACTGAGACTTAATAACCATTGAGCCTTTGTGAGATCTTTTTAGTAATAAAAGTAGGCCCCCAAATAAAATAGTGAGTTTTAATTTAAGAAACATCAAACGCTTCTCTACCTATGTGAGTCTAGGTGTGGATCTACGGCTGTGTGTGCAGGTCTGCTTTCATGCATCCATGAATCTATCCTATTGGCTCAAAGCCTCAAAATACCCTAGAGCAGTGTTTCCCAAACTTTTGACATATGTGTACCCCACCCCTTCTATAATTTTCGTAACACTGAGTACCCCTTGTATTCATGAGAATGTAGAATTAGGTGCAGCTAAGCACGGTGCAGTGCATATCCCCACCAAACTCCGGTGCAACGCCTACCCCCACCAAACTCTTCCTGTATCCCTTGGGGTACGCGTACCACACTTTGGGAAACACTGCCCTAGAGAGTTCTACTTTTGGGCATACCTTGATTTTCAGTACTTCATTCTCTTTGTTCATTTTTAAGAGCTGTAAATCTTTGCCCTTCATCCTTTCCATGAGCAGATCCAGACTGCAGCACGAGGGGTGCATTTCAGAGTCAGAGCCATTCTGAATGTTTCGACAGCACTGCAACGAACAAACGTAATAATCACAGACCCGACCTTCCCTTTCCTCTACAGGCTTCAAAAACAACAACGATCACTCCCTATCATGTATATCAGGGGAGAGTCAGGTCGGCACAATTAAACCTTCTGACCTCAAAGACCAGTAGAGGTTTCTAGATGAAGCAGCTAGCCTCCACCGTATTTGCTTAAATTTGAATAGATTCTTGTATTTAAAAGAGGTAGAGTACATGTTTTCTGTCTTTTATCATCCCCACAGTTTTAAATATACCATTAAGTCCTTTTAAGAAAATATAATATCTACAAGGTCAGCTTTTAAAAAAAAATTGAAGTTACAGACAAATGCAGTTTAGTTACTTATATTGCATTACAAACGAATATAATCAAACATAATAGTTACAATATATAATATTATATACTAGCAGATCCTATAATTATAACAACTTTTACCCATTCAGCGTCTATTATGTGTCAGATAATCTTTTAGCTGTTTTATACACACTCCTTTGTCTGAATACTCAGAACACTAGAAGGTATAATGTCCATTATACAAATGAAGATTAGAGAGTTTAATAAACCCAAGGTTATATCCAAAATAACTGCTCAGACCAGGATTAGAATCCCAGCTTGCTTAACAACAAAGCTTATATCCTCTTTAGTACGATAGATGGACTACATAAATAATTGATTCTGCCATGGTTTTGTTTTTCGTACTTCAGACTCTCACATATATTCTCACTCTCCATATATAGGCATTGTTTTCTTTTTTAATTTATTAGAGAATATTTGATGGGAAAACTCTTGTAGAAGGTAGATTATTGTCAGTGGTAGTTAACCACATAGATCAGTGCCACTCAAACTTTAACGTGCCTATGAGTCACTTGGAGATAGATCTGGTTAAATGCAGATTCTGATTCTGGGATTCAGGAGGTCCTGGGTAGAGCTCTAGATGCCACACTTCTAACAAGCTCTCTGCTGCTGCTGGGAATGTAGACCGCACTTTGAGAGGAGCATTTTAGAGGGAAATACTTGGCCTCTTTGACTCCGTCTTATTGAAGTCCGCTTTGTTCTCTCATGGCCTTCAGATCGACATCCTAATCATTAGAGGAATTCTGCTTGCAGCCTGAGTTTTTTTTAAAAAAAGATCCTTGACTAGAAGGGGCCTCTCCCAGGGAGGTAAGGAAAGTATAAACAAAAATGATTGTTTCCCAAAGATTTCAGGAACCTGTGACCCTGAATCACATCAACTAGAGTGAACAAACTAAGAACAAAGAAGTCTCACAATCTTTCTTGGACCCCTACTGTTTGCCCAGATGTCTGTGATCATCAAGCACCTCTTGCCACTCCAATCCCCCATTCTCTTGACATAAAAGAAGACTGAGCTCTGTACACTTTGAAGATGGACTTGAGGTACTATTATGTTTTCCATCTTCTCAGTTGGTGCCTTCTTGGTCAGTAAACTTCTTACTTTGAGCTCTGATGTTTTGAGTTTTGGCATTTCAAGCATTGGGCATACAAACTTTAGTTCTGTAACAGCAAAGCCCTAGATCGCTACAGTTAAATCTCTTCTGTGACATTACCCAGATGCCAAAGGGGTGGAGGGGCCTGATATTTTGATGCTTCATTTGTCTGCTAACTTGTGGTTTGAGATGGCTGAGCAGACACTGGCAAACAATTCATCTCCATTTGTAAGAAACTAGTACTATTAAGGTCCTCAAAACATCCCCAATGTTATAGTCAATGGTCAATGTTCAGCCCTCAATTTACTTGGCCCATGGACACTATTTGACACAGTAGTCCAACTCCTCTTTCTGAGACCCTTTTTCTTATATTCAGTGACTCCATTTTCTCTTGTGTTTCCGCCTAATCCACTCGTCTCTTTGTGATGATTCTTCCTCTTTTTCCTAAGATCTAACATTGAAAATCTCAGGACTTAGAGCTTAGATTTTTCTCTCATTTCTATCCACACTCACATGCTTTGTGATCTCTTCCACTTTCAGGAGTTTAAGCATCATCTTTACTCCCTCAAATCTCTACCCTGTAGCCTGGACCTTCTATCCCAGACCTCTACCATTCACTCCAGAATCAGATATCCAGCCCACCCACTAGAAACCTTCACTTGGAGGTAACGGCAACTCAATAGAACCAAAATTGATTTTTATTTTTATTTTATCATTTCCATCATTCATAAACTTAACTTTTTTCCCCCTTCAGTTTCAGAACACTTAGTTTAAGAGAATAATTAAAGCTAGTTGTGTTAGTTTAGGGGGCTGGGGATGATACAGGAGACTATGTTCATCTTTGCACCTATCTTTGGTATTCTCCATGACTAGACAACATAGTGGATGACATTGATGCTCACGACGTGCACTTGGCTCAGATGACATTTAACGTGGAATAATTCAAACAAGGCTAAGGGAAGATTGCTCAACCTTAAGAATATAAGGCTGATCACAGCGGAGTGGGGTCTTTTAAAGTTATCAGTTGTCTGGTCACTCAGCCTAATGGCTTCAACTGCATGGCCATTGTTGAGGCGCAGGTAAACCTAAAAGCTTGTGTTTCGGTCTGGCATTGAGAAATGTTGCCGCCATGTATCCTGGCTGGGCTGACAACTTCCCATATACTGTAGATAAGTAAGCCCAGTTTAAAATATTCAGATAAGGCCTGGTCATTCCAATCTGATTCTAATGCTATCTGTGGTTAAATATTTCATGCATTTGTCCATTAACATCTTTAGATAGTGATAAAATATTTAACATTCATCATTCAAAGCATCAAAGAATAATTTCTATTTGGCTTTATGCTTATTTACTGAAGAAATAAAAGTAGTGCATTTTGATAAATTCATTCATTACCTTTGCGTTTAGTTTGTGCTTTGTATCGCTCTGTCCAGTTTCATCTTTAAACATTTGATTACGGATCTTTTCCAGAGTAGCTCGAATCTAGGAAATAAAAATATTTTCTTTTGTTTAAAAGGCATTTAATGTCCAATAATTTCTTTCTCTATACCGGCAGCAGTGTACCTGATTTATCTAGACAGTAATACATATATACTGATGTCAGATTTAAATAACTACCATCGATCTAACTTGCATTAAGGGTAATATTGTTTAGATTGCAGAAAATGAAGCACTTGATCCTTATAATTCTCAGTCAAATCTAAAATACAATCTGAATGAATACTATATGACAAAATAATTACTATTTAGTAATTAGTATTTAATTCTACTTAGTTCTGTTTTTCTATATAGTAATTTAGTACTAATTTACTATTAAGTAATTAGTGTAAAACAATTACTATTTAGTAATCACTACAAAATAATGACTATTTAGTAATTACTATAAAATAATTACTACCTAGTAATTACTAGAGAATAATTGCTATTTAGTAATTACTAGAGAATAATTACTAAATGGAGATGATACAAATTTATGCATGACATATAAGCCCCGTGGCCTGGTGACTTATGGAATTGCAAGACACTAAGAGATGAATTAATAGATATGAATCTTACAAACTCTTTATGTCCACATTTTTCCATGTGTTCTAAGAAACAGTTCCTATGAATGTAAGTTTTGTTACCCATTATATTTTGAATCTTATAAGAGTTCACAATTTTCATGAAGGAACATGCCAACATATAGTTGTTGGCAGATAGCAACCCTGAGCAGTGAGAAGGAACAAGGTAAGGAGAGAGAGGAAGTCAGTAGAAAATGTAAACATCTCCTAGGGAATGTGGTACCAACACTCCTGAAACAACTGAAAAGAAAAATACCTAGTAGGGACTGCAGTGGTGAATACTGTGGGACAAATTAAGTGCTGGTAGGTGTTCTGAACCCCCTGGCTCATTCTTCTATTTTACTCCAAGTGTGAAAACAGAGGGCTCATAGCCTCAAGGGGATACTAAATAGGTGTTCAAACTACAGTTATCAAGATTGTCCTTTGCCAAATGAGGTTTGTTCTTACCCATTCTCAGGAAGGAGAAACAAAGCCCACTAATCTGTATTACTTTATTGTAAAAAAAAAAAAAAAATCATATCATGCTAACATGATGTCTGGTACCCACATACCATTTTCACATATTCGGTTTCTTCAATAATGTGAGCTGATGTGGACTCATACGAGGCAAGATTGTCTTCTCTCTTACCCCTTGAGGGAACCTCTGTGGTCACTGTTACTGTTGTCATGGTGAATTCTGGCTTTAGGAACACATAAATCAGTTAGACTAACTCATTTGGTGATATCATTATATGGTGGGTAAACTGTGCTGTCACAATAATTAAATACTGTATAGTAGAAAATGTTATAACTTATTGATATGTATATATACCCATAAATCCAGGAACTTATTTAATATTAAAACAACACTAGCTGAAACAATCCTTGATTAGAAACTTAAAGATTATCTGAGAAGGAAATATGTAACATTTTTCTTTTTAATCCACATCATATTAGACTGTAGATACTGTGGCTTCTTCATCTTTATATTCTAGCACATTGTAAGTGCTTAATAAATGGTTGTGGCAATAAAATAATCCTATCTAATAAAAGAAGAATATACTAATTGACCCTCACACCATCGCAAAGATGATGGTACCCACATCCAATAAGGAGGGAATATGCTAATTGATTGCCCTGCCATCAAAGATGGCAGTACCCACAGCCACAAGATGGCAGTGCCCAGTCCCCTCAGCCCCACTAGTATGCCTACCTCTGGAGTCCCCCAGTCCTCTCAGCCCCCCAGCCACCCAGGGCTGGCCTGAGGTGCAGGCAAACCTTGGATGGTGGCTGCCAGCTGCCCACAGCCACCTGAGGCTCAGGTAACCAGGGCTGGCTGAGGCTTGCACTACTGGCAGTGGCAGCAGCAGAGGTGTGATGGGGGTGTCACCTTTCCTTGACCACTGGGTCACCTCCCATCCTTGAGGGCTCCCGAACTGTGAGAGGGGCAGGCTGGGCTGAGGGATCCCCTCTTCAGTGCATGAATTTTCATGCATCAGGCCTCTAGTATAATTATAATATGTATATATACACTTATATATAGAGTGTGGCAAATGTAGGTTTGTAGTTGTGAATAGAGACATTTTGTCCTCTAGATCTGGTACAATCACAAATAGGAAGCATCACCTATGAAATATGATTTTTTTAAAGTGAGCCTGAATCTAATCAAGCTTCTATATCTAACAGCAGTAAATATCTTAACAAGGGGAAAGTGTTTAATGCAGTGGTTCTCTATGTGGTGCACACCCCCTACAGGGAACAATTTAATTTTTAAGGAGGGTAATTTGAGGATGAGTTATTTTCAGTGAATTTTTTTACATTTCTTATGGTTCTAGAGGCATCATATACAATATATCTTATATAATAAAAGAGTAATATGCAAATTGACCATACCTTCACTACACTCACCAGCCACACCCACAGCTAATCAGAGCAAGTATGCAAATTAACCCTAATCAAGATGGCTGCAGCCACAGAGAGCAGGAGGGAGGCTTCAGTTTCCTAGGCAATGGAAGAAGCAAAGCTTTCCGCCTGCCCTAGTTGGCCTAAGCTTCCACTCAAGGCTACAAAGTTTCGATTGTAGAAGGTAAACAAATCCAAATAAATATGGCGGCACCATGGAGCAAGCAGAAGGCTTAGCTCTGCTCCAGGCTACAAAGTTTAAATTGTAGAAGGTAAGTAAATTCCAGATACCAGGGCCTCTGCTTGAGTCACCAGGGGGCATGGCTGGCCTACAAACCACCACAGGCTTCTCGCTCAGGCTGCCCCACACCCCAAGGGAACCTGCACCCTTATCCGTGACACCCTTCAGGGAAACCAGCTGGCTCCCACTCATGCACCAGGCCTCTATCCTATCTAATGAAAAAGTAATATGCAGATTGACCATCACTTCAACACACAAGATCAAGATCCTTCCCTCATGTGGACACAAGATGGCCGCCACAAGATGGCCAGCAGGGGAGGGCAGTTGGGAGGACCAGGCCTGCAAGGGAGGGCAGTTGGGGCTGATCAACCCTGCAGGGGAGGGCAGTTAGGGGTGACCAGGCTGGCAGAGAAGGGAAGTTGGGGGCAAACAGGCTGGCATGAGAGTGGTTAGGGGGTGATCAGGCTGGCAGGCAGAAGCAGTTAGGGGTAATCAGGAAGGCAGGCAGGCAAGCAGTTGGGAGCCAGCAGTCCTGGATTGTGAGAGGGATGTCTGACTGCCCATTTAGGCTCGTTTCCACCAGGTTCGGGCCTAACTGGGCAATTGGACATCCCTCTAGGGGTCCCAGATTGGAGAGGGTACAGGCTGGGCTGAGGGACACCCCCCTTCCCCCCACCCTTGTGCACGAATTTTGTGCACAAAACCCTAATATGCAAATAGACTGAACTGTAGAACATCTGAACAATAAGTCGTTATGACATGTGCTGACCACCAGGGGGTTCACATGAAACATAGTGGGCATTGGCAGCAGGCAGAATCTAATCCAGTTTATTAGGTAAGGGCGTTGGAAGCATGCAGAACATGGCAGGTATCAGCTGGAATAGGGGCACCAGACCAAGGCAGGCATCAATTGCTGTCATTGGGGGGTGAGCATCTGGTGGTTACTAAAAATTCTTTGCTCCCATGTGCCACGGTTACACTGGGTACTTGCATCTGTTGCTGGCGCTGGCCCTGCTTGTACCCGCTGCTGGAACCCAGCACCATCAGTGATCACAAGGCACCATCAGCGGGTGCAAGCAGTGGCTGCTGGTCCCCATTGCCTCTCAGGGTTTCTCCATCTCCCCGTTTCTGAGGAGTGATTGAGGTTGGCAGCCACCTCTCACACCCACTGCTGGCACCAGCCCTGCTCGCACCCACTGCTGGTGCTAGCCCCAATTGTCAGTGAGTGTGAGCAGGGCTGGCACTGTCAGTGTGTGGGAGTGGTGGTGGCAGGAGCAGGACTGTGGGAAGAAAGGAAATGGGGGAATGAGGAGGGCCTGAATGGGAGGGGCCAGGCAAGGGCTTGGAGGATGGGCTGAGACCTACTCCTGTGCCCACCACAATTTTCAACACACAGCCCACAATTTTTTTCAAGTGCATGAATTTGTGTACTGGGCCCCTGGTAAATATATATTGTGACATATTTATGCATTTCAATTCTCTATTATGTTTTGAAATGTTATTTGCTATTTTTTTCATATTATTTCATATTATTATTATTATTATTAACAATTTCTTAGTGTTTTCTTCCTCAGTACCTATTACCAAGTTAATGGCCATTTAGGCTTCCTCCATGTTAATAGGAGTCCACTTTTTGAATAGTAAGAATTATATGTCACCGGGTGGGTATCAGGATTTTAGAGATGCTTAGGTGGGACAGGGCCAAAAAAGGTTTGGAACCATTGGTTTAATGACTCTACAAGGGTAAAGGTTGCCATCAGCCAAATCCAGATTATGTGAAATATTACTGAACAAACTAGTTCCTACCACAGATAAATTATATAAAGATGAGGCAAAGAGAAATTGCTGTAAATTAAGAATCTTAGAGACATATGACCAAATGTAATATATGAATAGTCTTTGTCTCCTGATTCAAATAAACCAGCTATATAAAGACATTTTTGAGGCAATTGGGAAAATTGTAACACTGACTGGATAATAGATGATGTTAAAGACTCACTGTAGTGTTGCTAGGTGTGATAATGAATTTTTGACATTTTTTAATTGAAAATCTTGTCCAACTGGTGTGGTTCAACAGTGGAGCATTGACCTATGAACCAGGAGGTCACAGTTCGATTCCTGGTTGGTCCACATGATGGAGTTGCAGGCTTGCTCCCAAGGAGGGGGCATGCAGGAAGATTTTCTCTCATCATTGATGTTTCTATCTCTCTCCCTCTCCCTTCCTCTCTGATATCAATAATATATTTTTTAAATCTTATCTGTTAGTCATACATTCTGAAGTATTTGCAGTGAGTAATATATTTGGAATTGCTTTAAAATATTATAATACAGAGGAAAACGTGGGGTGGACAAAGATGAAAAAGTTTTGGCAAAATGCAAGATATTGTCAAAGCTGGGCAGATGGGGTTCATTATACTCCTTTACCTACTTGGTGTCTGTGGGAAATTTTCATAATAAACCATAACAAACTAAAAAATAAAATAAAAAGTCTTGTGAGATAGGATTATTTACCTCATTTTCCCAATAAGAAAGCCAAGACTCTCACAGGTGATGTTAACTTACCTGAGATTACAGTAAAACTAACAGAGTGCAAACTCAAACTTCTGTTTTCTAGATACCAAGTTCAAGGGTGTTTCCATCACATTAAGGCTGGCTTCCCTAGTGAGAAAAAAACAACAACAAACACAATTACTTAAAGTTTAGCAATAGCCTATGCAGTTAACACAGAAAGAATTTTCATATTTACTAGCATCAGTTTACAGCTGGATAGTCTTTGGGGATAATGCAGAGTTTTGCATTTATCCTTTAATCTTTGATGAAATTGACGGAGTATGCCAAGAATTTTCCATTTTATTCTAAATCTTCTTAAATAGCCACGCTGACTTCTATTTGTTTAGACTGCAGTTGACTTGGCAGCTGCAGCTCTGCAGTTACAGAATCTGAGTGGAAGTACTTCTGATACTGGGTCCTCTTAAGTCTCTTCTGGGATTAAGTTCCCCGTCCAAAACAACATCAAAATGCTCAGAGTACAAAATAAGCTCACACAGTATAAACAGACTCATCCATACAGAGAACAGACTGACAGCTGTTAGAGGGGCGTGGCTTGGGGGCTAGGTGAAAAAAAGAAAAGGAAGGGACTAAACAAAACAAAACAAACAAAACAAAAACAAATAAAGCCAAAACCTGTTTTGCTCAGTGGATAGAGCCTTGCCTGCGATTCTGGTCAAGGGCATGTGCCTTGGTTGCAGGCACATCCCCAGTAGGGGGTGTGCAGGAGGCAGCTGGTTGATGTCCCTCTCTCATAGATGTTTCTAGCTCTCTATCTCTTTCCCTTCCTCTCTGTAAAAAAATCAATAAAATATATTTTTAAAAATAAATAAAATAAATTAAAAAGCTCATCAACAACAGTGTGGTGATTACCAGAGGGAATGGGGGTGGGAAGTGGGGAGGGAGGAGAGGATAAAGAGGGCATAAATAGTGATAGAAGGAGACATTGACTTTGACAACACAATATACAGGTGATGTATTATAAAACAGTGCATCTGA